CCCCCCCCCGGTTCTTTCAGAGTCCAGGGTACGACCCGTCCTCAGGGATCTCCCCCTCCTTAGACTACCACCCATTTGGGACCCTGGGGCCCTTCCCGTACTGTGACCCCGCCTACAGGAAGAACGCCACGCGTGACGCCACGGCCACGCTGAAGGCTTGGCTGAACGAGCACCGCAAGAACCCGTACCCCACCAAGGGCGAGAAGATCATGCTCGCCATCATCACCAAGATGACCCTGACTCAGGTGTCCACCTGGTTTGCCAATGCCCGGCGGCGGCTGAAGAAGGAGAACAAGATGACATGGACGCCACGGAACCGGAGTGAGGATGAGGAGGAGGAGGACAACATCAACCTGGAGCGGAACGATGAAGACGAGGAGTCAGAGAAGACGAAGAGCGAGGCAGGTGAGAGAGAGAGAACTGAGTGTGTGTGTGTCTGTGTGTATAATCTCTGACTGACCCCTCTGTTGTTGTGTTGTTGTGTAGCTGGCGGCCGTCGCCCCTCGGTTCTGGACTCCACTGATCAGATGTTCAGAGATGGAAGAAGCAATGACGTTGATCTGGACTTTAAAGAGTCGGTGGACAGGAGGCCCCACATCCCCGGCTGCACAGGGACCCCTCCTCAAAACTCACCACTCGGGGCGCAGAGCACGTCGGAGCTGGAGCGCACGTCGAGCTCGCTGAAGGAGCAAAGAGACTCCTGCGCCACCATCCAGGGGCCAAACTCGGCCCCTAAACCCAAACTGTGGTCGCTGGCTGAGATCGCCACGTCGTCGGACAAAACAAAAGGATCTAATTACTCATCTCAGAGTGGGGGGGATGGGCACGGGGCCTACTCCACACCACAGCCCCTTTACCCCCACAGCCCCTCCCTGCCCCGACACCTCTACTACACCTCCACCTTCATCCCAGCATACTCTCACTATGGCCCCCTGGGGCCCCTGCAAGGCGGCCTTGGCTCACGCTTGGCCTCTGAGACGCATCTAAACGGTTTAGAGCTGCAGCGAGCCGAGGGCGCTGCCACAGACGGTAAACTCCACAGCCAGAGTCAGCTGGAGCTGCACAAACTCAGGAGGGCCTCGACGAACGTGTAGGGGCCACGTTTCTGTACGGACCCTGAACTGTTGCACTGTGGGATTGTTCACAGGAAGAGTTTTCTATGTTGGTAAGACATTAATGTTTGTAACATGAAGTGTCATTAAAGTTTGATATACTCGACTGATCAGCGCCCCCTGCAGCTCACTGTGACCTGTTGTCCCACATGTGTAAAGGTGTGAACACGCGATGTCATCGGCCTGGAGCCACGATCTGACTGATCAGCTGATTCAACACAAACAGAAAAATAACTCAGGATTTGAATAAATCAGGATTCAAATAAATCAGGATTTAAATAAATCAGGATTTAAATAAATCAGGATTCAAATAAATCAGGATTTAAATAAATCAAGATTCAAATACGTCGGGATTTGAATCTTCAGATCAGACGATTGATCACATTTAGTTTTGTTTCAGGTTTATGGACTAAAGGTTTTGCTTCCGATGTGGTTTTAATATTTCAAGGATTCAAACATTTTCTAATTTCACTGATGTTTCATCTGTTAAATTGTTTGATCAGTTGATTAAT